ACTGCAGTTAGCCATGTGGGAGTCTAGTGCCTTCACCACACCACCTGCTAGCCCCATATGATTTTCTTTAAAACACTTTATTTTATTTATGCATTTTATTACTACTACTTTTTTTTTTTTAAAGGCTTATGCTGCAGGAGCGGGTGCACTCTCTGGAAAGAGACAAAGAGAGACAGTGAGAGGGAAAGTGAGAAATCACTTCCTAGGGGAATAGCCATGCCACAGTCCCTTCTCTCAAGATCCTAGGCATGCATACACATGTACTGGGTGTGATGTTCAAATTGCTAGGTTGGGGACCTAAACCATGGTTGACTGTGTGAGAGTCCAATCTCTTAGCTACCATGCCACCTGTTGGCCATTATTTTAACTTTATTTTGAGTTAAAATTCACATAACATTATATTTATCATCTTAAACATTATAAATTGTATAGTAGCTTTTAGTATATTCCATCACTTTTTAATTCCTGGACATTTTCATCACTCCAAAAAGAAACCTGTTATCTGTTATCATCTTCCTCCACTTTTCCTTAACCTTAATTGCCTCTAGTAACCACACTGACCTTCTAGGAGGTCAAGTTTTTTAGCTTGTAGATACTAATAAGAATATGCAGTATTTCTCTTTCTGTGACTGGCTTATCTCAATATAATGTCTTCTAGGCATATCCAACTTGCCTTGAATGACAGGATTTTGTTCTTTTTCATAGTTGAATTATGTTTCAGAGTACACACATACCATATTTTCTTTATCCTTTCATCAGTTGATGAACACTTACGTTGATTCCTTATCTTGGCTATTATGCATATAAGAGTACAATAAACATGAGACGAAGACTTTTTGACATACTCTTTTCCTTTCATTGGCATATATACCCAGTAGGGGATATTACTTGGTTTTATGGTAGTTCTGTTTCCAGCTTTTTGAGGAACTTCCATACTGTTTTCCATAATGACTGTACTAGTTTATATTTCCACCAACAGTGTATAAGAGTTCCTCTTTCTCTGATTGCCTTTTATTATTATTATTATTATTGAATATTAAGAGTCCTTTATATTCTAGACACAAATCCTTTTATCAGCTATGTGATTTGGAAATACATTCTCTCATTCTATAGCTTTCCTTTTTCGCTGAAGAATATCTTTCAAGGAGCAGACATTCTTAATTTTGATGAAATAACATTTGTCTTTTTTTAAAAAATGGATCATATTCTTTATTGTTTTATCTAAGAAATCTTAGCCTAGTCTAAGTTGATAAAGATTTTGGGGGGTCAGCAACTGGTGTGGTGGTTAAGGCACTGGACTCCCCATATGGCCAAACATAGTTCAAGTCCTGAACCCAGACCTGGCAGCTTGAATATCACACAAGGCATAATGTGCATGTATACCCAAAATCCCAAGAGGAAAATGGAGAAGGGATTGTGGTGTGACTATCTCCCCTGGGGGCTGATTTCTCACTTGTCCTTTCTATGTCTCTCTCCAGCAAGTGCACGTGCCCTATGGCAAAAACTTAAAAAGAGAAAAGATGTTCTACATTTTCTTCAGAAATTTTATAGTTGTAGATTTTGCATAGAAAGCTGTCATTTTAGTTCATTTTTGTATGTGATATGAGTTGTGGAACAATTTTCTTTGTCTTGCATATGGATATACTGTTCTGGGCCTATTTGTGTTTATAAGTATTTGTTTTATACTTGTACAATATTGACACATGTTCACATATTTCTTGTGCAAACACCTATGAGGAGAATGGCTACATCATATGGTAGTGAGTCGATAGCTAGACTTTGTTCTGTTCTGTGAATCTGTCTGTCTGTGTGCCAATACCATCCTATTCTGATTAGTGTAGCTTTTGTAAGTCTCAAAGACTTGCATTGTACACATACCAGCTTTGTTCAAAAATTGGTTTGACTATTTTAAGTTTTTTGCATTTTAAAGTGAATTTTAGAAAGTGTGGCAACTACTACACAAAAGTCTGGGATTTTGATTGAGATTTTATTGAATCTGTAGGTCAATTTGAGCAGTGTTAACATTGTAACAACACTCAGTTTTCTGAACCATGAACATGGTATATCTCTTAATTTTAGATATTTTAAAATATTTCTCAATAATGTTTGGGGTTTTATTTTATACGTCTTGCTAATCTTTTGTCATAGTTCCCCTAAATGTTTAATTCTTTTTATCTGAGATTTTTGCTGTAGAGCACATGCATTTATTTGCCAGAGAGTCAGAGGAGACAGAAAGTGAGAAATTACCCACCAGGGGGAATGGCCACACAGCAGTCCCTTCTCTTTCATTCTCCTCTTAGGATTTTGGGCACGCATGCATGCACGCACATGCACCTGGTATGAGTTTTAAGCTGCTGGGTCCAGGACTTGAACCGTGGTCTACTGGGTGTTCAGCTACGTAACCATTATGTCATTTGCTGGTCCCAGTATATAGTATATTTAGTGTTATTTTAAACAAATTTTATAATTTCCAATTGCTTATTTTTAGTATATAGCAGTACTATTATTTTGTATATATTGTATACTATTAATACTTTCCTATCCCATTGACTATAACTAGGTCAGTGGCTACCACCATTGGAAGTTTGGTTGGGAAATGTTACAATCTAATGTCTTCCCACATTTATGTGAGACAATCATTGTGGAAGAAAAGATGCCCTCACTAGTAGAAGACAAAAATACTATAGAATCAAGAACATTCAAGTTGTTGCCATTTGAAAAAGGTGACATTTCAAATGTGCTGGAATGAACTTGGAATTATTATTTTAAACAAAATCTTAGCATCAATGTAGACATCCTAAGTTGGATACCTATTAGATTGGGGGAGTGTCTGGGCTGGATATCAAAATCGGGCAGTCATTGGTATATGGATGGTATTTAACATGTGAAAGTGAATGAAATCACCGAAAGACAGATTATAGGTAGATAAGTTCACGGTCTGAGCTTTGACTACTTCCAAGTTCGTAGATTTGGCACATGAAGAAGTAGCAAAGGAGGCTAAGAAAAAGTAGCACACACACACAAAAAAAGGAAGAGAAAAGAAAAGAAAAAGTAAAAGTAGCACGTGAGTTGGGAGGAAAGTCAGTGTGCAAACTCAAATGGGAAAAAGTTTTCAAGAAATAGGAAGTGATTTCTGTGCCATTGATATGTCACCTGTCACCTAAAACGAGAACTGAGAATTGACCATTTAGTCTAACACTGTGGAAGCCATTGGTGACTTTGATGAGCGGTTTCATGGAGTTACAGAAGTAAGAGCTTGATTAGAGGTGATTGAAGAGAAAATGGGAGGGAACAATTTGGAGACAGCAAATACAAGCAGCTTTCGAGGAGTTTGCTCTGAAAGGAAACAGATAAGTGGGGTGGTAGTTGGAGAGGACTTTATGGGTTATATTTTTTAATATTAAAGAAATCATAAAATAAGTATGCAGGTGGGGGTGATACAGTCAAGTGAAAACAGGTGATGTGAAAGGGGGGCTAGTCATTAGAACCATGTCTTTGAACAGTAAGAGGGGATGGGACCTCCTACACAGATGGTGGGACCCTAGAAGAATGGGCAGTTCATCTATTGTAGCAGGAGGGGAGGACAGGAGAATATAGTCACAATTGCAGATAGGTGAGATGTAGGCAATTAAGTTCTCATTTTATTGCTTCTGTTTTCTGAGTGTGAAAGAAATGTTTTGCTATGAGTGAGGATGGGGGCAAAGGAATAAAACAATCATCCAGGATGACTGGACTGAGAAAAATATATCATCATAGATCGACAACACTAAAGGCTCTACTGAAGTTAGCAGTTAGGAGCTTAAAGTGAACACAGATTACTTTTTGTTTTTCTCTGTCCATTTTCACCTGCATAGGTGCAAGCCCAGAGTAGGCAATGTTGACTTATCCAGGGTTGGGTTTTGTCAGGCAACTTTGAGGAAGCGAGAGAGAGCAGAGGAGTGAATTAGAAGCTGGTTTGTGAGAGAAGTGAGGGGGGCCAGTAGGTGGCTTGGTGATTAAGGCACCGGACTCCCACATGGCTGACTGAGATTTAAGTCCCAGGCCTGACAGCTTGCTTTCCCACTCTTTGTCGCTCTCTGGTCAAATTTAGTAATAAATTAATTAATTAAATTAAATAATTACTTAAAAGAGAGAGAGAGAGAAGTAAGGATGTGGAAGGTAAGGGACAGGGAAAAGGTGGTAGTGTCAGTCCCAGATTAAAGAATTAAAAGGGGTTGGGATACAAGAGAGAATGAACTAAAAAAAGCAGTAAGTAGTGGTTCTAAGTGAGATCCTCAAGTTGAAATTGTAAAGGGATTTCAATTGTGACCAGGCAAAAACTGAGAGTGAAGAAGAAGGCAAAGAACTAGAAGGATTTTCTATGTGGATACTGAATTTGTGCTCATAACCTCAAGACTTTCTATTATTTTCTAATATCCTTTGTTGCTGTTGGACTGATAAGGTTTGGGCTTAATAAGAGTTATGTGTCTTTCTGTCATAGTTGGTTTCTTAGTGCTCTATGACCTTTTTTTGGCGTTATCTTTTGTTACTCTAAATTCTGTCTACTATTGCATCCCCCCCCCCCAATTTTCTATAGTGTGTACTCTCTCAGAGTAGGGGGCAGAGAAAGTGAGAAAGTATCTTCCAAGGAAGATAGCTACATTACAATCCCTTCTCCTTTTTTGTCTTGGGATTTTAGGCATGCATGCACACATGCCAGCACAGTTTTCAAGCTTCCAGGCTGGGGACTAGAACTATGTAGTCGACCGTGTGGAATCCAGCCACCTTAACCACCACTCCACTGGCTGGCTTGAGTTTCGTGTTTAGGCTTAGGTCCCATCCCCAAGAGATTTCATTATGTGCATGCAAATAACTCTTAAAAAAAAAAAAAAAAAAAAAAAAGTCTGAAGTACTTCTGGTCCCAAGCATTTTGGATAAAGGATACTTAACCTGCATATTTTACATGTAATTGACTATGTATTGTATTCTATAGTTAACTTGAGAATATCTTTTTACTTTAGGTATCAAAAAATAAAGATGGAAAAGAACAGAGTGAAACTGTATCACCGTCCGAAGATGAAACATTCTCCTGGCCAGGTCCCAAAACAGTTATGTTGAAAAGAACATCTCAAGGCTTTGGTTTTACATTAAGGCATTTTATTGTTTATCCTCCGGAGTCTGCAATTCACTTTTCATATAAGGTAAGTGAAACCGTAAAAGTAACTTGGGGAAAACCCAAAAAATATGAGACAATCCCTCCCTCCTTATCATCTTCTCACCCTTGCCTCCTGCCTTTATTCTGTCTTAAAAGAATTGTTACAATTGCATTTTTATTATATGCTTTTTTTGGTTTTTTTTTTTAGATACTTTTCTACTTTACACTAAGACTTCAATTTTCTTTGGAAGATCATACTAATTCTAAACTCCACATCCATTTTTCAGGGACTTCTAGACTTCATTCTCTCTGTTCTAATGTATAACTGGTTTTCTGCTATCTAGGAAGGTGATGAGTTTTGGACAGAGTACACAGGGGAAACTATTCATTAAAATAAGCTGGTGGCTATAGAAAATTAGTTGGATAAGAATAATACTTAATTTTTAAATATATATTAGGTCGTCTGGAAAGTCATGATATATTTTTCTAATTATTAATTGCTAGAGGGCATGTGTGGTCATTAGAGAGAGACAGAGAAGGGGAAGGAAATAGCACCCCCTGCAATGGAGTGTAGTCATACCTCCTCAATCCCTTCTCTGTTTTTCCATCCTATTAAGATTTGGGGCATGCACAAATGTCTGGTATGTTTTTCAAGACACCCAGACCGAGATTTGAACAGTGGTTGGCCATAGGATTGGCTCCCTTAGCCACTGGCTATGCAACGAGCCCTGGAATAATTACAATAGTGGCTGACACACTGCGTACCTGCTCTGTGTTCTTTATGTTCTTTATGACATGTTACTTCATTCACACCACAATCTTATGGGGCACGTGGCATTATTAGCCCCACGTATCAATGTGGAAACTAATCTGGGTCATAGAGTGGATAAGTAGTGAACCTAGCCGATACTAATTTCTAGTGCCTTACTATTTAACACAATATAATTGAAATCACTTCAGTAAGAGTTACAAGACCTTGGCCAAGCCACTTAATGCTTTTTGGATTTTAGATTTCTATTTTATTTTTTACTTTTTAAAAAATTTGCCAGGGACATACTAGGAAGGAAGAGAGAGAAGGGGAGTGAAGAAGGGGAGGCAGGAAAAAGAAGGAAGAAAAAAAAAGGAAGGAAGGAAGGAAAGAAAAAAGCAGGAGAGGGAGAAAGTAGCCCCCAATGGGATGTGGTCATTCTGTAATCCCTTCTCCATTTCTCCATCCTGCCAAGATTTGGGACACACAGCGTGTGTAATGTTTTCTAAGTTCTTGGGTCTAGAATTTGGACCGTGTGGTTGTCCCTGTGGAATCCTGCTACTTTGATCACTAGGCCATGCATAGATCCAGCCCCTAGATTTCCATTTTAATCTGAGAGAACTGAACTAGAAGTTTAAAAAGTTTTTCCTAACTCTCAATATCTGTAACTCTAAAACTATCCTCATGAAAGTATTGATAAGTGTATAATAGTATCTGGAATCCCCATTACTTTTATTGTATTCGTGTTAAATACAAGGGGTTTTTAAAAATCTCATGGAAAATACAGGTTATAAAGCAAAAAAATTTGTAGGTTTACAGTTTTTTCACACCAAAGTAAACTCACAACTTAATTTTCCTATGAACATTATGAACATGTCTCTATTTTTCAGTAAAATGTCTTAGGTGATAAGCTTTTTAAAAGTACTAGACAGCTTTTCTGAATAATAACCCTCTTTGGAAATAAAATGTGCCAGTTTGAGTTTCCTGAGATGTCTATAAAACTGCTGGACTGGGTTCCCTAAAAGTCTGCGTGACCTGGAAAGGTCTCAAATAGGACCAGCGTGGTAGAGCACTGCTCTGAGATGCTGGGTCCCACCTGGTGACTGTGGTCAAATCCCTAGTCGCCCCACACTGGGCCAGGCTTGTGTGCGAGCGCCCACCATCTGATAGCCTGGAAGAGTGGAGGGAGGGAGTCACACATGGCCCGACCCTGGGGAAGGTACTCATCTTCCTCTTTCTCCCTTTTTCTCTCTCTCATGCACACATATACTCTTTCATAAAACACAAAGATCCAAAATAGCATTATTTGTGTATTAGGTCAGGCATGAGAGCATTTGATAATTATATATTATGGTTGAGTATTTATGCCATTCTGTTTTGTTGTGAATAAGAGCTATAGACTGTGATAAACACATAGGTAATATAATTTTTATAAGACAATTTTATTAAGTACCGGTTAAAAATATTTTATTATTTGGGCCAACCGATGGCATGGCAGTGAAGGAGGGTGGACCCCCATGACCGTGACCAACTGTATGGTTTGAATCCTAGGCCTAGCAGTTTAAGAAACATGCCATGAGTGTGTGTGGCATGACCAAAATCCTGAAAGTAGGGAGAAATGGAGAAGGATTGCAGTATGACCATTTGCCCATGAAGGAGTGCTTTCTCACGTTTTCTCTCTGCCTTTCTCCAGTGAATGCATAGCACCTCTGGTAAAATTTTTAAAAAGAAAAAAAAAAATATATATATATATATAAAATGTATTATATACATACACCACATATAATCATTACACAATACTATTAGAGGGCCAGTAGGTGGCGTGGAGGTTAAGGTGACTGGATCCCACATGGCCGACTACATGGTTTAAGTCCTGGACCTAGTGGGTTGAAAATCATGCCGAGCATCTGTGTAAATGCCCAAAATTCTTAGGAAAATGGAAGAGAAGGGATTATGGCATGGTCATCCCTCCTGGAAGTGATCTCTCTATCTCTCTCTCTCTCTCTCTCTCAGGTGAGTACACATGCCTTATAGCAAAAACTAAGGAAAAAAAAAAAAAAAAAAAAGAGCCTGAAGCCTATAACTTCAGCTACTCAGGAGCGTGAGGCAGGAGTATCACAAGTTCAGTGGAGGCCAGCCTGGGCAATGCAGCAGGACCCTGCTGGTTTAAAAAAAAAAATTTAAAAGACCAAAGAAACTGGGTTTGAGTTCGATCTCTTCCTCTTATTAACTCTGTAACCTTGGGTAAGCCACTTAACAGACAGTACTAGCACCTTCTTCACAGGCTGTGAGACCAGTAAACGATACAGTCAGTATATGCACACACTTCACACAGAAATCGACAGAGTAGTTGAAGAATAAATTTTAGCTATTAATGCTATTATTTGAAAGAGATAGTTTTGCACATAGGTTTTGGTCTTATAGATTTTATATGGAAAGTATGTATTGGAATCCTATCTATGTCAGTTATGAAATTTTATTTCAAAGGAATTTTTATTTATTTTTAATGGAGATTTTTGCTATAGGGCATGTGCACTCGTTGGAGAGACAGAGACAGAGAGAAAGTGAGAAATCACCCCCCAAGGGCTGATGGTCATGCCCTGATCCCGGCTCCATTTTCCTCTCAGGATTTGGGGCACGTATGTACACATCCTCGGCATGAGTTTCAAGCCTCCAGGCCCAGGACTCAAACCTCATTTGGCCATGTGGGAGTCCAGCGTCTTAACCACTACACCACTTGCTGGCCCCACTTCAAAGGAATTTTTAAATTAAAAGAGATATTGTATGGTTTTTGGAAAGGGTGCAGTTAATACAACAATGTCTTCATTATGTCACTTAGCTGGCAATCCTAATCATCTCAGAATAGAGTTTATGAGGAGAAAAAAACATTTAGGAAGCCAAAATAAAGGTCAAATATTATGTAATAAATGTCAGTCCTTCCCCAAATATCTCTTTTTCTTTCTACAGTACATGCTAGTTTTCGTATGAAAGAGGCTCAGCAAGTGTTTGAGTAAGTGTATTTTTTGCTAGATTTTTAAGATTACTTTTCTAATTTCCCGTCTCAAAGTAAATAACATGACAGCAGGATGGTCTGATAACAGTAAAAGACCAAATAGATAACAAACTTCCAAACTGAGAGCAGGAACTGAGCTCGGGAGCAGTGTGGCACGGCTCCCTTTGCAGAGTTCTGGGTGCTGCAGGGTGCCAGGCAGTGCAGGACTGAAGGCGGCCCTGTCCCCCCATGGCAGGCTCTTCATCCAGCTGCCTGCTGGACAGAGCTGCTCTTGGGTGTCTCTGCCCTCCCCTCTCAACATGCCAGAAACGGAGCTCTTGGCTGTCCTCCCTCTAAATTGGCCTTCCCCACCGCCTTCTCGGCACTGTTAGCAGTCGTCATTGGCATGTTTCTGGGAGGTTTGAATTAAATGGAGCCCTGCTGTGATTTGACAGAAATTACATAAATGTGTATTCATGTATGATTTTTTTTTTTAATTTTGTAGGATGAAGAAAATGGAAACAGAGGAGGTATGCAATGAAAATTTTAATTTTTCTCTGAATGTTTTCCTACCCATATCTTTCTGTTCTTTAAATACTATCAAATGAGATGTTATAGTTTTTGTAATTCGAATAAATAACAGTTTCTTAGATACAAGAGTCATAGAAATTAAGTAGTTTTTTACCTTAGACTCCAGAGTTTTAGAAATTCGATTGTTGGGACCAGCAGAGGGCGTAATAGTTACAACATCACTGGACTCCCACAGGGTCAACCGTGGTTCCAGTTCTGAACCCAGTTGCTTGAAACTCACTGCTGGTGCGTGCGTGCCCAAAACTCTGAGAGGAGAACGGAAGAGAAGGGATTGAGGTGTGGCCATCCCCCAAGAAGGGGGATGCACATACCCTCTAGCAAAAGTTTCTCTTTTCAAAAAAAGAATTCAACTGTCTATTGCAGTTTGAGCATGTGATAATTTTATTGTTAATTCTGTATTAGCATTTTTGTACATGAATATATTATTACAATTACATGGAAAAAATTCTGAGATTTTTGTTTCCATTATTAATCTTTCTAAATTTGATAATTCTTTTAGATAAGGAATGCTGTGTGTTTTGTCAGCTAGGTATATTGACTCGATATTGAAAAGGGGATTTGAGATCTTCTTGCTTTTAATCTTATTCTTTATTTAAACATTATTTAATGAGGTTAACAGGAGCTCAAATTGGGGATAAGGTTATTTATACCTCTGATTATTTTTAAATTTTTAAAGTCTACCTTATTGAGTTAATATTTACACTCTAAGTGTGCTCATTAGAAATGTTTATTTCTAGATAATGGTAAACTTTAAAAAGTTGCAAAGTTAGTTACGGTGTCTTTCCATATATATCCCTCATTCAGTTTCCCTCAGTGTTAACACATTTATATAACTGTGGTACAATAGCAAAGCTAAGACTTTTCCTGAATTTCACCAGTTCCCACTCGTGTCCTTTTTCTGCTCAGGAATCTTTAGGAGCATTCAATGGTCATGTTCCTTTAGTCTTTTCTCATCTGTGCAGTTCCTCAGTCTTCCCTGTATTTTATCATCCCGCCATTTTTAAAAAGTACTCATCATTTAAGTTGTACTGTGTTCTAAAATTTAGATTTGTCTGATGTTTTCTTATCACTAGTTCCAGATTATACTTTTTTTTTCTAGAATACTGCATTCGTAACTATTTTAAGTTTATAATTTGATGACTTTTGATAAATATATAACCTGTGAAACCACTAATCCAGTCGATACTTATATATATATGTATGTAGATAGATAGATAGATATCAACTCTTCCGTCATTCCATAAAGTTCCCTGTGCCTTTTTGTACTCTGCTGACCCTAGTCACCTAGTCAGTCAGTGTTAGTCAACCACTGATCTGCTCTGTTACTACAGACTAGTTTTGCCTCTTCTGGAATTATCATCTTACGAATGAAATAAAACAATGTGTACCCCTTGTGTCTTTTGCGTGGCATAATATTTTTGAGGTCTACCATGTCATGTGTATGGGTACTCATAGTACTATTTTATTTTGCCGAGTTCTTTCCTTTTGTGTGACTACAGCACAAATCGTCCATTTATAACACCTGTCTCTTACCAATCCTAGTTAGTAAAAGTGAAAGAAAAATGGTTTCTTTCAAGGCTAACAAAAGTAATCTAAGGACATAAGGCCAGATAGGACCCCTCATAATTGTCACATGTGCAAGATGGGGCACTCCTGCATCGCCATCTGTTGTGCACCAAAGTTTAGGATGAATTCCAAATGCTACTTGGCGTTAGTGGAGAAAGGAAAACTTAAAACCAGCATCATCAGCAGGATAAAGGGGGTGTAGTTCTCGATCCTCTCTTCACCCCCCAGGCTGATGTGCTGATTCCTGGGCAGCCTACTGGACACATAGAATCTTGAATTTTATGCTGGTGATGGAGCAGATGTATTTGTAATAAATGTAGAAGGCCTGACTTAGCTCACTCAAGTCATGAATATAGTTGTGTGCTTTGACTGGGGAAAATAAACTGAAATGTTTGCGAGAGAAAACTAGACCTAGGTCTAGCAGAGGGCAGTTAGGAGAAGAATGATAAAGCAGGATTAGTGGTGTAATTTGCTGGAGGAGATGACAGTTTACCTATTTTATTGATTTAATTTATACCTAATATTACTTGAAAACAAAGTTTGTCTACATGCAGAATTATGTGCATTATAATAGTAAGGTCAAAAAGAAGGTTAGGGCCAGCAGGTAGTGTGGTGGTTGAGGTGCTGGATTCCCACATGGCTGACCACAGTTCAAGTCCTAGGCCTGTTGGCTGGAAAATGAGGGTAGGTGCGTGTGAATGCATGTATGTGCACGTGCTCAAAATCCTAAGAAGGTAATGGAGAAGAAGGAATTACCGCATGGCCCGCACCTCAGGGATGATTTCTCACTTTCTGTCTCTCTGTCTCTCTCAGGCGAGCACACCAGCCCTAGGGTAAAAACAACAGCAAAGAAAGTTAAAAGTATATAGTTAAAAAAAAATTAAATTGGCATTTAGGAGAATTAGTACACGTGAATTCATGTTGTAGTTCCTACACTAATATCAAAGAAAGATGAAGATGTTTAGTGTGTTTCTGAGCTTTCTATGACCAAGAAAAAGTCAAGAATATAATTAAGGATTTATATTATCCATAGAACAACAACATTCTCTTTGCATCAAAGTCTGAAAAAAAGTTTCAACTGTGGGTTCTTATCATGGAAAACAAAGGGTAATACAGTAGATAATATCTTTTTTTTAATTTTTAAAGAATTATTTTAACTTTATTATTATTTATTTTTTTATATACATTCGCTCACATTGTTTAGCTTACAAAGTGAACATTTCAGTGTGTGAACATTTCTCCCCAGTCCAGTTGATCATCATATTAACAGGAATAAAGATAAAACCATATGGTCATATCAATTGATGCAGAAAAAGCATTTGATAAGATACAACGACCCTTCATGATCAAGACTCAGCAAAATCGGCATAGAAGGGCCATTTCTCAGCACAATAAAAGCCATCTATGAAAAACCCATCGCGAACATCATCCTGAGGGGAGATAAGCTGAAAGCTTTCCCACTAAACATGGAACAAGACGAGTAGATAGTATCTCCAACACCGTTCCTCCAGATGGCTGTTGTCAAGTGAGGCCTCTGTAAGCTCACTTCAAAACCTCGCCATCCAATTCAGCTTGTTTGTTTTTTTTTTTTTGAGAGATTTTTCCTGCAGGTTGTGTGTACTTGCTGGAGAGACAGAGAGTGACAAGTCACCCCCCCTCCCCACCCCCGAGCAGATGGCCATGCCCCAGGCCCTTCTCTCAGGATTTTGGGCACTCACGGCACATGTGCTCAGCTTGAATTCAAGCCTTGGGATCCAGAAGTCAAACTGCTATTGACCGTGTGGGAGTCCAGCACCTTAACCACTACAGCACCTGCTGGTCCTGGTCCCCCAATTCAGTTTTAAACACTTCTCAGCTGGGAATGATATGCACTTGAGGGGTATATGTAGTAGACATTTTTGGTTTTAACAGTTGGGCAGTAGGTCTATGCTCTGGCATCAAATAGATGGAGGAACATCTTACAATGTAATTTGCAAGTGTATACAGTCCAGAATATCTGTACTTTTTGTTCCAAGAAGAATGTAAAAAAGTATGAGAGTATTTGAAGAAATTGGTCTGTAATATATTTGCAAGATACTAGGAGAACTACTTGATTTTTGAGGAGAGAGGTGTGGTATAAATTAGTATATGATTGAGGACTTTACTTGAGACACCATAATATATGTTTTTATCCTATTATATCTTTACTAAAGCTCTGTCAAGTGTGAGATAATGTTCCCATTTTGTGGGCAAAGGATCTGAGGGTGAGAAAGATAAAATAAGTTGCTCAAGATCACACAACTAGTAAGTGGCAGAGCTGGACTTCCAAATCAGTTGTGTCTTAACTCTTGAGTTCACCTTTTTTTAAAATATATATATATATAAACTGTCATCTTATTTTAAAGTTTCCTTCTTCATTTCTTTAAGTTATCTTTCAAAAGACAGAATTATTTTTAAACAATAGTCTTTTGACTTACATGGGACCAAGAATTAGTAAATAAATATAGGGTATGTTTAGTATGTTTTGAAATTAACTCTGTGACCTCTGTTAAAAACAAGACAACTTATTTTATTTGTGAATACCTAAAGATAAAGAATTTACATTGGGACCAGCAGATGGCATAATGGTTACATCACTGAATTCCCGCATGGTTGACTGCAGTTCAAGTCCCAGACCCAGTGGCTTAAAACTCAATCCAGGCACGTGTGAGTGCATGCCCAAATCCCAAGAGGAGAATGGAAGAAAAGGGATTGCGGCGTGCCATCCCCCCGGGGGGTGATGTCTCACTTTCTGTTTCTCTGTCTCTGTCTATCTCTCTAGTGAGCGCAAATGTCCTATGACATAATTCTTTATGTAAAGAATTTACGTAAAGTTCAGGGAGATCCCAAGGTAGAGGCCCTGAACACATTTTAGGAGCACCCATTACTTGTTACTCACTTCTGGATACCTGGCTAGCATTGGACATGGAAGTTTAATGAGTGCCCTGCCTACCTTGATTTCCCTTTGCTTCCCAAGTCTAGGTTTGCCTTTGTCATCCCAGTTGGCTAGTTCACAACAACCTGCTTAGCCTACATATAATAGTCATAGTACATTTCAGTTAAACTGATCAGCTGTTAGGCCACACACTATGTAAAGCCATTTCTTCTGACTTTTAAACAATTTTTATGGATTAATTCTTAGAGACAAAGTATAATATGCTTTATTATTTTAATTCTACAGAATGTTATAATTTTTATTTTATCTTCTTTATTTCCTTTCCAAACTTATTTTCTAGCATATTGAGATTATGCAATCCTTTTTTGTAGAATTTTGTTTGAATGTAATAGAATCCCCAGTTTCTAGTGGAATGATGAGAGCCAAAGTGTAGACTCACTGGAGAGAAAATAATTGCCT